TGGAATAATCAAAGCAGAATACATGAAATTCATCTATAACTCCAAGATCAGCTTGTGCATCAAAATAGGAACATTTAAACTTGACCAGTGTCATACAATTTATAGCATATTTCCACAAGAAATTCTTAATATTTCTCTAGAAATCTTTGTAAAATTTAGGCTAAGTGAGAATTACACAAGGCACCGAACAGAGCAGGAACATTGATGAAAAGTTATTTACAAGGAATGGAGTAATTCATACACACTCAGCTCTCCTGAAAACTGACATACAGAATGYTATATAGCACAAATAAACAGATAAGTGGCTGTTTCTACCCTATTGGAGGGGCTTCTGAGAATACCCTCAAGTTAGTCTCAGCTATCATCTTAAAATGGTTTTCAACCAACTGAAGGTAGCCACTACACAGATGTCACCAAAATAGAAAGAGAATAGAAAGAGGATACATTCAAAACTATGTAGAAAACAACTAAAACCGAAAACAAAATCTTCTGCAGGAAKGAAGATATTTAAGCTATACAGAGACAGGAACATGATCTGCTCTGGAGGGGGAAAGGACAGAACATGCAGCCCTCATCCTGGTCAGTAATAACACACAATGGGGACCGTCCTGGGCCTTATTGTCACAGGCCCCAGCATCTGTCCCTCAGGGAGGGCTAACACACTGTTTAGGTTAAGCAAATGACTATAATGACTCCATCAAATGAACTGTAAGCAATTCCACACACTTTTACAGACCCATGCTCAGTATCTCTTYAGAAGATTTCTTACAAGCTCCCCACCACTTCAATGGTGCACTGACAGAAATCAATGTTTTACTTAAGAAGTTATGGTGAACAATCCTTTCCTAAATTCAAAGTGATGCTGGACCTTCTCCCACACATGTTGATAGTGTGAATGTTTCCCTAGATGTCTGAAAACTGCAGAATTGTGTCTTCCTGGAATATCTCAAATTGTCTTTCTAGGTTTCTCTGTAGRTACAAATGTACTCAACCAAGAAGACTGTGGAGACATATTGCCAGATATATTGTCATTACACTGCACCATTGCACTCCAATTCCAAAGAAAATTTACACGCAAATATCCTTTCAGGGTTCTTAAAAGCTCAATAAAATAGGATACTATATATTGCTTTGAAACTTATTTTCTTTAGATATCTATATCTACCTCATATATATGCAATTACATTAGAGATATATAATTATATATTATATTATATATTATACTCATAATAATCTTCAGTGTAGTCACATTAGTGTAGTGGTTCAGGACCTCCAAATGTCTTCACTGAGCTGGACTGGCCTTGGCCACAGCTGAACAGAATTTAGAAGAGTGATGGGTAGCTGCTGGTTTGATGCTCAGTCAAATGAGCTTCCTTCCACCTACACAATACTCCAGACTCACCACGTACAGTTTGCTGTATGAAGAACAGACCCTCCACAGAATCAAATTATTCTAGCACATATGCTCCATGGTCTTTTGATCAACCATTACCTTGAGAAAAAACCACACAATTCTAGACTTTCAAGCAGGTACCCTTATTTTAATGGCAATTTTAATGTGTAAAGCTCCTGGCTGTCATGGAAATCTCTAAGTCAGTTTGTATTCTGAAGCCAAAGGTTTTACTGCCTCCCACAAAATCCCTTTGCTTTTGCTCCTGGGGCTTTATGCAGCCCCAAAGTGAATCCTAATCAGAAAATTATCTTATTTCACTTATGAAAAGCATATTTCATATATGACATGTTGGGCACGACAGTTATGGCAATACGTAGCAACTGAGATTCTGCCTAACTGATTAACTTCTAACCTGTGTCCAAAGCTGAGAGCTGGCATCCCTACTTTGTGGTTAATGCTACTGCTTTGGTATGCTGCCCAGAGAATCTAATTTTCTTTTGACCGAGTAACAAGGAAATTACAATTTCCACACCTTGCCATGCTACATTAGCAGTAGGGTGAATATTTACCTTGCAGAGAAYAAACTAATTAAGCTGCAAGAAGGCATAACAATAAAAGATGTGAAATTCTCAAAGTGAAATCCAGGACAAGTGCCAGTAAGATACGTGGGACAGTCCCTCCATGAATAAGCTAGAGCAATAGTTGAATTTCAAGTCACATATTTAGAATAGGATAGAACAGAAAACATGCCGCGATGTCAAAGAAAAACATCCTGACCTAACTCTATGTCAGGCAAATTAATCAGCTACAAAGTCACACACTGCAAAAAAGATCTCCAAGCCCTTCCTTTCCCTTTATATTGATCATGCATATATATTAAAATATTAAAGGCAATGTACGCTACTTTGATAAAGAGCATCGCAGCTGATGGTTGTTCAAACAGTGTTTCACAGTAATTGCACAGCGTCAACCATGGACAGTAAAAATCAAATTCCAGTGTATATTAAAGCGGCCAGCATACGATTCATTGAGCTCCCCGGTATGTATGTATGCATGCATGCCCCTTTCGTGCAGGGAAAAGGACTTTCTTTAACTTCAGCAGCCACGTACAGATGTGGCCAAACTTCAGCTACCAGTCTCCAGCAATACGGGCTTTAACATGGAGGAACATGCTCCTCATTAAAATAAAAGTTCTTGGATTCAGTATGAGTTCAGAAATTTGGACGTGCGGGTGTCTTTCAAGTCACACGAGGTTCTGTCACACCAATGTGGCAGCTGCCTTCTGCGTTAGCTCTTTTGAGGGGCTGCTTTCTGCACACACTGCTGGTTCTCAGCAAAGCTTTGTTTCCAGCTCAGCAAGTCTGCTTCACAACACAGGACATTCAAAAAGGCTTTTGGAATTCAAAACAAGGCTTGTTTAGCGCTTCAAAAACAGCTGTGACAGGTCAGCTCCCAGAAAAAAGCCCTCAGTAATAAAAGCTGAACCCTGCAGCTGCCTCAGGTATCTGCGGAGGCTGAGGATGAACTCTAAAAGACAAAACAACTTAAAAGAAAGCAGTGTAACCGTCAGCACCCGTGTCTGAAGCAACTGCACGGCGCTGCGTGCTTGTCACACAGGCTCTGAGTGCAAATGCGCTAGTTACCGGCATCGGGGGGCTGCGGGCCAATGCTCATACTTCCAATTCTCATCATCATTAGGGCAAAGGGTTTTACTTCAAAAAGCAGCAGATACCACACTGCTCCTTAAGTCTCAAAAAAAGTACAATGTGGTATTTTGGGATCTTAGATTGTATAGAATAACTGTTTTTTTTTTTAAATGCTTTAAAATATTATCAGAATATTTTATATCATGCTCTTGTGGAAAAATTTCAAGAGATTTTCAATACCAGTGCATGTATTGAAACGTGTAATGAAATGCAATGTTAAAAATCTACACTAAGGAAAGGAGACATATCATTCTCCTTAGCCTTGTGCACATTATTAATGTTTTGGTGAATTATGCAAACTCAGACGCAATTAGTAACAATTATACAGTACTGGCTTTCTGAAGGACACTTTTCAGAAAGGGTATCACTTTTTACGGTATATTTTTATTCATATTAAAATCTTATCATAGAAAAAAGAATAAAAATGGCAATTAATAATTTAAAATCCTCAATAGTTTCTCCAGAGAAGGGTAATCTACACGAATGAAAACAATCATTCAAACAGATATAGATCGTACATTTTTGTCTTTATGCCCATACACCAAGGTTGTCAACTGTTTTCACATCTTATTCATTTCTGTCATCCCAAAGGATGCTGTCCATCTAAAAAATGGAAAATCAGTCCAAGAAGCCAGGAGGTCCTATCCAGGTTTAGTTCCTTCTTTCCTGCCTTGTTCATCACCTCTCCTTCACCTTTCCTGGAAGCAGAACTCCTCTCAAACATCAAGTGAAACCTCTGCAACTACAGCTCTTACATGCCGAACCACTAGAATATGTTATCTGATACTATTTTAATTATAAAAATCATCAGCCAAAATGCATATGTAGTATAAAGATAGCTGTTTTWAAATATTTTAGGGACCACTTATGGAGCTCTCTAGACCCAAGCAGTTGGCTAAGACTAGATTTCAATGGTACTGCAAATAGATTCTCTTTATATAATTAATATTTATATTTAGGGATAAAAACAAACTTAAATCTCACAATAATGCCTGGATGGCATAAATGGCRAATTTATTATTGGTGATCCTGATTTAGTTCTTGCTATTACATTTGTGATTATTCTGAAGCACTTRGATGATATGTTTAATGCTCATTAGTCCATAGCTCTCTGTAAGCACAAAACCTCCATTAAATAATTAAGGTAGCAAAACATGGTTTTAAATATTGAGTGTCTCAAGGTAAAACAACAAGAATAAGAGATGTCAGCTGAAAATGGCACTACAAATACTAGTTCTTTACCATGAGATTTTTTAAAAGATGACAAAATGTATTTAAAGTACATATTAACCTAKTTCTTTTTAAACTTGAAGCTAGCATTTTGACAATATATAACAAATATTTTTAGCTTCATAACTAGTAATGATAAAGATGATGACATTCTACTTCCCTGAAAGATAACAATAAGATGACTCAAAATCATTTTAGTTAAGTACATCTTGTTATTTGCAAAAAGTAACTAGCTCATTTGGGGATTTTCACACTGAAAAATGTTCTCATCAGTTCACATCCAGTTCACATCCCAAATCAGTTTATAAAACTTCAATCCACAAAATAATTCACAGTTCTTTCAGCTAAGAAGATACAGTTCTTTCAGCTAAGAAKATATTCTCTGGCTTTCCAAATAATTTTATTTTAGTATGTTTTTGATATATGAGAATCATGCATCTGGAAACCTAGCCAACTTTAAAATTTTATTTGGAATAATCAATGCAAAGGTAAATACAGAAGATAGATTTCAATTATAAATAAGGCTATATCTTCAAGCACAAGACTCAAAATTCCTAACAATATAATTTGTTTTCTTTTCTTGGGGGGGAAGGTGAGGGAGGAGGCGAGGAGGGGTTGGAAATCGGATGAATTTTTACAAAATACATGCTGTCTTACTTTAAATGTGTATTTTTTAAAATTAAAGAACATGGTCAAACATGAACTGAAAATTATGAGAAGTCTACAAGACAGTAATATTCTATTGTCTCCTGTTTTCTTYGTTAATCTTGGTGAAGTTAAACAAGCAGAGGCAGCATCTCAGAGCTTCCACTAATGAATGAAATTAATGTTGAACAAGGCAGGTTTGTTTCTTCTCTCTCTCTGTACACCRATGGAATGGAAATAGCTATGACTACATAGCAATTCTCAACGCTATCACCTTCACAGAACAGTTACTAAATTTTTCCTGATACGCATCTCACGCAGTATCAAAAACACATAATATCAAAAAAAAAAAAACCCAAAACATGCATATTAGCAAAGATAGTCATTACACTAACTATATTGCTTCTAGAAATTTAAAGCAGAAATAACATGCATTTATGTACCGTAAAGCTATGATTTCTTGGTAGTGAAAGAGAGGCATGTGTTACCTTGCAGTTGCAATATATTAGATATGTAGTAAAGGGCACTTTAAAAAAAAAAAAAAAAAACAATAACAAAATGCAGTTCAATTCCTTGGCAAAAGGTTTAGCAGCTTAGCAGACAGCAAAAACCTAATAGAACAGTTAGCTCTGTACAAAAATTTACTTAAATTAATATTAGAGTGAAAATATTCCTGATTCAGTCTTTTTTAATAATCTCCCACCCCAAGGCTAGAAAGAAAGGTCACGGATAATTGGAGCAATGGTACAGCTGGACACACTCTTTAAGCTGGTAGCCTGTGATGAATGCCACCTAATACACCGCTTTGTTAAACTCCTATCCCAGTATTAGCAAACTTGCAGAAAWGCAAGTACATTTTTCAAATAGGAAGCAACATTTTTAGAAACTGATTTCTAACTATTAATGCACACCCTCTATAGGCAATCTATATGATTGCTTATAGAATGCAGTAGGTTCACAGTCAAAATCMAGTATCTATGAGCAATAAAGATACAGTAGTAAAGCCTATGAGAGCAAGAAAGTGCACTGAAATATAGTTCAACCTGAAAATTCTACATGTCAAGGTATACATAACATTACAATGAAATGAAAAATTGCAGGAGGTGCCTAGGGATTCTTTATTATTTCCATGATCTGATGGCAAAGTGATTCTACTGGGGGTAGGAGGAATAAATCTATAATTATAATTCAATACATTAAAATATAGCTTTCCATTTACAAGTTCTGCACATAAAGAAAACCAAAAAAGTTGCACATGTAAAATAGATTTTGATTCTCTTAACCTGCCTATACACATCCCTCAAACAGTTCTGCCCAGCTGGAAAGCAGTGATGTTGAACAGCTCCCCATGCCTCCGGTTATCACCCTAGATGAACAAGGCACGATGTTGCTTGCTCCTGCTCTTACTCATTTGGTCTCTTACTCTTTAAAGATTAAATACATGACTGCGTGAGCACAAATATAAAGTATGCTACCAAGTATGCCAGCAACCTTCATTAAAAAAAAGACTAATTGAATAGACGGATTTTTGGTAGCATGACAGTCTTTCTAGGGTCGTTGCAGCCTGTAGCCACTCAAATGAAATGTTCTCTCCTATGCCCAACATGCTCCCTCCTGCTAGCAATGAACATGAACTGCTGCAGAAGTTTCTCTTTTAGTAAAATATAGGGGTTTTTTTTTTGGTGTCTGTGTGTGTATATGTTTAATTTTTTTTTCCCCAGCCAAACTGATCAAGAATGTCACCAGTGATCATGTTAGAGTTTGCTCCTTTGAGTTAAATTTACTCTCTGAAACCAGAGGAAGCAAATATTAAAGAAAAAAAAAAGGCAAGCATTTATGGTCTGCTGGTTGCTGGCTGTAATCATTCTCTCCCTCTTCAGCTGCTTTCTCTTGCAGTGGGTATGTGTGCGTGGAATAAGAATGTTCGTAACAAACTGAGATCTAGAGCATACCTACGAACATGTAAGTATATGCATTTAGTGTATTGCTTAAAAACTGCAAAGAGTAAAAAAATCCAAACCTATCTTTTCCTTTTTACTAGATTTTCAATTAGGAAAAAAAAAAAAAATCAAAAAACCCCCCACCACTAATCAGTGATATTCCTGGAGAGCAAGAACTGACACTGAAATACAATCTGTGTCCAAACAGCTGTAAAATAACAATTTTTCTTCTCAGATCATGATGGCTACCAAGACAGCATCAAGCTCAAAACTTGCTGTGCAAGTCTAAGTTCCAAAATAACAGCACTTTTTTTCTGCGTGTTAAAAATACATGCCAATTTCTGAGACAGTGCAGCAAGCCATGAATAATGTACGAGAAATTCCTGCGTGGTGCACCAAGGCAGGGCTGTACCGACTGCTGTATGGTTGCCAATATTAACCAAACAACCCAGCAAGCTCCGAAATCCACAAACCTCTGCTTTCCACATCTTCTATGTACTTTGTCTTCCTTCCATTGAACCTGATGCTTAGCAGATCCTCGTCACATGAACACTTCTGAGAACACTTAAAGCCTTTTTATAGAACTAAAAAGAAAACTCATTTTCCCTGCATTTGTTTTAAGGATAAAGAAATTTGTAAATCTCACACTTTTTTTTAACACTATAATATATTATTTATAGATATCATGGTCATATTTTGAAATGTCCTCTGCAGACAAGTTTTCACTTCTGTTGCAGAGACGTCACCGCTTACAACAGGGGCTTCAGGCATCTCTCCAGTACTCAGAGCTGCAGCAAATTTTGCCAAATCACCTCTGATCTCTGGGAAGTTTTTTCTTTTTATTTATTTATTTATTTTGTAGCACTGGGTGAAAAATCACACTGGAAACTGCAGGTGTTTGATGTGCTGTTGTGATTCCCTTGGCATCCTCCTCCTCTTCCCACCTGCTCTGCCTTCCYGAGTCCTCTCTCTTCCCATACAAGGGTCCTGCAGAACTTGGTCATTTGCTGCTTAAAGACCCGTAACACAGACAAACCATCTCTCACATTGGCATTTCTTAAGATATGGATCAAAATATATATGTTGATGAATCAGTACCTCTTCGTTTAATTTTGTTTTGAATTTTGCAATTAAAGTTATTTGAGTTCATTTCAACACATCCCAATAATGAGTCATTCTTTAGAAGCACATTCAATAGATTAATTAAAAAAATAARTAAAAAGGAACTTGAGAATCTGGAAAAGTTCATGCAAACAGTTCAAGACTTCTATTTGAAGAGTGTTTAGCTCCTTTTCTCTTATTTACTTGGAGTCCAGAACTACGTTCCTAAATCAAGGCTACTTACATAGCAAATGTTGTGAATTTTCACAGCTCGGATACGCTGTGTCAACTTTATATTAGGACCCCATTAAAATTTAGTGATACAGATGTAGCATAAACAAAGCATCTGGTACAAGAAATATATTTGGTCACATTTTTAGTTATAAACTATMAAAACTTGAACAAATGAATAAAAACTTGAACAGTTTTGAGCTGAGAGAAGAATCTCTGAAGAACAATATACTTATATAGTACAGTTTTATATTATCTTTGCTAACTAGATGAAAGAGAATGACAGATTTTGCTTTTATTAAAAGAGTCAGCCTCAGTTTATTGGATATGAGGTAGATATACTTGGCTATTTCATAAAATGATACGAATCCTTTTCTTCAAACCTTCAGCTGCATATATTTGACATAGAAGCATACGATTTTATGTCAAATACCTATAGTTTTCAACAATCCTTTTTTGCTGCAAGAAATATTTTAAATGAAGAATTGGAAAATACTAATACTAATAGCATACTAAGAATACGTGTCATTTACAGTTTGTATACAAGGGACATTAAAATGATAAAATGAAAAAGAAAGCGAGGAGCATAAGCGCTGCAGTTGCTTAGACCCTTCTCAAATTTTCTCACCAAAACCCAACCTGCAGGAAGCAGTAATTGTTCAGACGACATCTGTACAACGCTGTTACCYCAAGAAAATGAAGGTACTTCATTGTAATTTGGCTTTTCTGACTACCCACAGCATAGTTTCTAACCACGCCAGAACCTGACCAGAGCCAGTGTTTGAAAAATGCTAAATTCTTCTTGGTGTTAATGTTTTTCAYGGCACCGTTTACACCAAACTAATTATATCTGCATTTTTAAAGATTAAGATAAATGTACACGCATTCACACTGCAGTGATGTTTTTAAATGCTATTTCAAACCCAGCAGGAACTCTTGTTATATTATTTTTGGAGTTTAGAGTTAACTGAAGATACTGCTATCAAATAAGAAATGTTGATCACAAAGAAACAGCCCGCTGAGATTTCACAGTAGCTCAACAACCAACTTGCAGCAAAAACTGTTGCAAGTCTTAGTAAAGCAGCTTTTGATTTCATTTTGAATACTTTTTCCCACTCATTTCAGGGCTGAGCGTTTGTAATGTGCCAGTTCTACTGACCTTGGCTTCTTGGTGTTCGTTTCCTGCGATCCCTGAATGCTGCTCCCGACTGCAAGGCCTCAAGCAGATTATCCATTACTCCCGTCTCATCACCCTCTGGAAATTGGAGAAAAATAAAATGAATTTTAGTGCAATTGGATGGAAAGGGAGTAAAAGTTGATGCAGATTTACATAACACTTCCAAACAAGAGACATATATGTTTTAATATAATGGATGCTGTCAGTTCTTCCATTATCTSTATTTTGTGTATGATGCTCTATTAAACAGAATTGATGCCAGCTCTACTGTTCCTTCAACTTAGAGATGCTATCTTGTGCATTATTGACAATGACTTCAATATGTAGACAGACAGCTGCTGAAGAATGAATGCTGCTTCATTGTTAACATTACTAGGTCTTTCATGGAATAGAAGCAGGTCCTTCTTTATTTTTTATTTCTTTTAAATCAGTACACATGGAACTTCTGATGAAGCCGAATGGCACATTAACACAACAAATTTCAGACACGGTCACCTATCTATATGATGTCTTAAATTCTTAAAACATTTATTTTCTTTCAATCTTACTTCTTCCTAATCCATACGCCTGGTTACATATGTGGTATGTATATCCATATATCCCATATGGATATCTTCATACCATGGATTTTCTTCAGTTAAGGAGAAAGAAGGGGAAAAAAAAGTCTTCAAGTCAACAGCATAACACTGCTTAAAGCCAAATGATATTTTGATAAACCTCTGTTTTTTTTTTTCCAAATGCCAACCAATCTGTAGTCCTTAGACTATCAGAATCTACAGCACATTATGCAAAGATGAGTAGAATGATTAAATTTTCTCTATTTAAGGCTTTAACTTGGTCTGTGTTTCAGACTGTTCTCTTAAATAACAGCTGATAACAGCATGCACCAACACAAGAAACAGAGGCTGAAGTACTACAGTGCATTATAAAAATATTGATGAATGACTCTTGTTCTGCTCACATATCTATGTAAAAATACAACGTTAAATATAGACCAGACTCAACAGGTGGGAGGCGGGCATTTTATTCACATCACTAGAACTTCAGGTTAATATAAATTTCCCCGGAGTGGGATGATAATTACTTTATGCAGAAGACTTGCATTTTGGTAAAGCACTTCTATCTGACTCACCGAAAGTGTAGGAGGCTTAAGCTACAGTTGAGAGATGCAGCTCTCAAATATTCAACTCAAAAAGCAGATTTTGAACATAATGGAGAACTTAGATTGATGTATTAGCATTTATTGGACCACATGCAACTGTAAAGCAGTGCTTGGTTCAGATTTCTACATGATGACCATCAACAGAACTACTTTGAAAATTTAAGTTATATATAATAGTTTAAATTGCACTCATGTACATAATAAGCAACATATAATAAAGTTATCTTCAGGAAAATGTAAAAGGGGGCAGAGCAAAAGGAACAGAATATCTAAAGTATCAGCTCTATTTAGATTTCATCTAAAAACAAGGAAAAAAACAAAAATAAATAAAAAATATACTTGAAAAGCTCATGAAGAATAATAAGGAAAATTATATTCTCTAGTTTCACACTCAAATACACAGAGGCACAATCTGGTCTAAAGCAAACCCATAATTATTTTGCTGTGTTCGTTATTGTACGTATGTTTATTCATTGATTTATTTTTGGTTTTGCATTAAATGCATTTTCCAAATCAAGTATCTGTGACTACGCTGTGACCAAGCTAACACACTCCAAGTGTATTAGTCTAAAAACATTAATGAGTAGTTACTATGACTATAGTAAATAGGGGTATACATTTTCGAATACTTTCTTCTTAGAAAAAATACATCTTTCAATGTTAATTAAAAATAGAGCTGGCAGAGTTTATTTAAAAAGACAAAATTCCTTAGAAAGTTCCCAAACGCTTCTGCAGCTTTCCACGTCTTTTCTGCCAAGTACGCTATTCTGCTGGTTTGTTTTTTTTTTTTAATAATGTATTTTTGGAATTCCAAAAGATATAATACAAAAAGAGACATGATTTAAGGAAATAGAGGAGCACAATACAGAGATTTTTAGCTCCTGAAAATAAAACTTACAATACAACTGACCTGAACATTCTATCTTCAAGTTGTCATGTGAGTAAATTGGAACTGGACAGAGAATTACAATAAAATTCAGAGACAGCAAGCATACTCATGTATGCAAAAAACATTTTGCAAGGTCTTTTTCCTTCTATGACTCGTTCTCTAAAGCACTGATTAGGCTTAGCAAGGAGACAGATTCCTGATAGGCACTAAATGCAGCTGAACAGACAAAAATGTTTCATAATCATTAATTGGTGTAGTATCTACAAGTCTGCCTTGCCTTCACAATATTGTATCTCACAATATTATTATTTTAGCATATGCATTCAGTTTTRAAAAGAGGCACATTTTTAGGAGTTTACAATAAGACTTATCCTCTCACAGGTCCCACAGTTCTGATCATCTCAGGAAATTGATTGTGACCACTCAATGATAGCAATAAGATTAATTTTTTTTATTATTTTACAAAATATAGAGATGAACTGATCATAAAAAAGTCTAACCACACCTTTTAAAATTTGTTATGTTACACAAAGTTCTTAGAATCTATAACCCTAATTAGAGTGCCAATTTAAAAGATCTTTGACAAACTGGACTAAATACTACTCYTACTTTACATTCAAATTGAAGAGTTGAATGTAAAAAAGGCTGAGCAGAGATGAGAATGGTGACTATGGTGAGAGATCTAGGGCATTGTCAACATGCTCAACCTGGATGAAAACTTCCCTTCAGTTTTATAATAGTACTGACTCTCACAACAAAGACATGATAGCTAAAAGATTAATGCCAGATTGGTTAATGCAAAGTATGCATAGGTGAGGTGGAAACAAACCGCAAGGCCTTCTGGATAAGTTTTAAAAGAAAGAATAATAAGACACAGAAAGACAACAGMATGTGAGATCAGGAGAACCCTTTAGGTCTTCCAGAGATAAGTGATTAAATTTATACTCTCTGTAATATGAAATATTGTACTTCATTTGCCTAGAGAAGTTCTCTCTCACTTATCTACTCTTCAGCATTTGATATAATGGCRTATTAAATTATTAGTGAAAGGTAGAAAAAAATGGTTATTAGTAAGAGATCTAGCTGACTGAGTAACAACAAAAGGATGGAAGGCAACTTTAGCACTTGAGAGCTCACAATGGAAAATCTCCCCAATCCTGTCCTTAATTTATTATCCTAATTAGACAATTTGGCATAATAATAGATGACATACAGTGCAAAACATTAACTTTTGAGAGGACAAGATCAGAACATGCATAAGTCTTGGAATAACACCATAGATAAAAGTAGTAGTAATAAGATGGTCATGCATCACTTCAGGTGCAAACCACGAGCTCTTCAGCACAGATTGACTGATAACTTCTGTCAGCTTCGGTATAAAGAGTTGACCCAAGAAACAGTGGTGACTGACCACACCGACCAGTCAGTTATGGCACTGAGGGAACGGGTCACAGAATACTATTTACAGTAATAAATAGATGGACAAATAAAATGTTATGACATACAAGTAAAACTTGATTTAAAACATGGTATACGAGTTTGGGCACTGCGTTCATGGGARAGTCATCAAAACTGGAAAAAGCCTTTATGATAAGCAGGGGAGTAGATTCAAATGAGAAATGCCTAAGGCAACATGATTTCTTTAGGCTACATGAAACTATCATGTAAAATATGTGTGGTGACTGATCCAAAGCACACCAGGAGTGTAAGATTCAAGAGAGAAAAGAGGAAAAAAAGCAACTTAAACTTACAGGTAGTTTTGTTCCAGCAACAAATAGCTAAGAACTGGCAAAGGAAAACACATAGATTTTCATAAAATTTTCATAAATTAGGACCCTGACTGTAAGCATCTGGCCAAATATCACTTCAGGTAATACATCCTGACTACCTGTCTGCTGCTTCTGCAAGTGGTTTCCAAATTAATCTTTTCTTCCCATCTTGCATTATACTGTTCCACTTTGAACTTTTAAAGACTTTCCACAGGACACATTTCAACAGCAGAAGGGCCAAAACATTTCACAGCTTTTCCTAGTCGACATGAGTGCTCTGTATAAACTTAAAAAAAATTCTATTCTTAATTAGTACAGGAATTTTTAATTGCAATATATACTTCTTAAAAGGGCATTTTTCAGTGGCTTTTGCAAAGTGGGTATTTGTGTTCTCACATCACATTTGCATTTTATTTTCTAAATTCATTTTGCATGCATAAAAATATCTTTAGGAAGCAGTTTTCCTCATCATTTTGTAGCAAAAAACAATCTCATGATGATTACTTGCTTTTAATTAAAGAAGAGTGAGTTAGGACAGTATGACTGATAAGTGAACCTACACCAGTTTAAAGAAAGAAGGCAGAGCCTTGCTCACATACCAATTAAACTCTTTGTTTACAACAACCTGATCTCAGGATTATGTAAAGTTAATAGAACGAGGAAAAAAAGTGCTTTGGTGTACTGGCAGGTCATCAAAACAATTTCTGAAATGCACTTACTTTTTCATTTGCAGAAAAAGTCATAATGGTCGAGGTCTACGTTAGCAGGACTGTATTTAATTGAAGTGCATCCGCATTACCTCTATGGCCTTATTCTGAATGGACTTATGCCCCTTGCAAGGATGATCTTAGAAAAACAGGCTTTAAGGCAGATATCTTAGTTAACAAATGGGAAGACATTGCCTCTATGTGGGAAGGAAAAGATTGTGCAATTCCAAAAGTGAAAGAAAAAAGGACATGTAACAGATACCTGAAAAATTATACAGCGGTAATCAAGATCTACTACTGCTTGCAGCTTTAGATTTCAGTTACAGTACTAAGTTCTTCTAATTTATGTATTCAGTAGATAGACATAAAAAAAAAATCTGAATCCTTTTAGCATTACAAAATCATTTCCTTCTCAAAATGTATWGCTGAACAACTGTTCCAACATTTCAGGAAGAAATGAGTGTTTCATGAGTCATTTTGGGGGCTGGGAAAACTCTCACGCTTTCTGTCAAGATATATGTACATATTTTTTTCTTTTACTGTATTACTTT